GGAGAAAAAGGAAAAAAAAAAAGAAAAAATTAGTTCCCTCGTAGTCGGGCGAGCTCGACGATCGTTTTCGACGAGGCTCTCGGATGTTTTTGAGCGACGACCTCGTCCCGATATCGCGCGTTATCAATAAATTCTCGATTGTTGGCGCTCTCTCTAGAAGCGGACCGAATTTTGGAAATATTTCTCCTCTTATCTCCCTTCCTCCCTGGACGGTCTCTCGCGAGCCTCCTAATATTCTACTTCTCCCTCTCTCCGCCATATTGCCGATAAGACCGTCTCTCTCTCTCTCTCTTACGGTTCATTTTCCGCGGATGTAATAAACAGTTTAACGCTCGCAGTTGTTAAAGAGAACGAGCATGAACTTACGCAGGGATCGTAATGACTCGATATAAAATGGGGCCGGCATAATCTCCCTCCTCCTCCCCCTCTCGCTCGATATACACGTACATACATAATATACAGCCGGATATTCTATATGCATATATGCATATATATGTGTCTGTATATATATATATATATATTTCTTTTTTCGCCGTACTACTCGCTCATAAAAGCGCGAGCGCGGGATGTAAAATGTTATACAGCCGTCCTGAAAAAGTAACGCGCCTTCGCGCTTTATGGCCTTATTTGCGGAGACGTAAAAATTGAGAAAATCAATACGAACTTCCGATATTAAATATGCAGGCTATTGACTGGCTTCGAGAACTTGGGCGGGGCCGCGTCTCGTCCTCTTTCCTCCGAGCCTTTTGTCCCTCTCTTTCCCCCTTTATTTCCTCCGAATTTTTTTTTTTTTTTTTTCCCACCTCTTCGCCGACTTCGCCCAAAAGGTGGAATCGAGAAACGAACGCCCTCGAGTTTTTTCGACATTATTAATATCCCCGAAGGAAATATGTTGACCTGTTGTGCTTGTACATAAGTGACTGTATAGGAAATATATAAATTAGCACATCGTATCGATCACTTGGGTAGATATATTGCCGGTCGAAGTGGCTACTTTTCAATTTCTGACATTTTTTTATCGTCTTTTTTTGCAATCATCCAAAATTTTATCCATTGTTTTAGATATGAAACATCTACTTATGGCCGTGAAAATTAAATTTCTAGATTTAAGAGATTTATCTTAATGATTATTCTTAATTATTCTTTTAATAGTAACCGAACGTATCGATCACTTGGATAGATATGTCGCCGATCGGGATGGCCATTTTTCATTTTCTGATAACTTTTTATCGTTTTTTGCAATCATTCAAAATTTTATCCATTGTTTTAGATATGAAACATCTACTTATGGCCGTGAAAATGAAACTCCTAAATTTAAGAGAATTATCTTAATGATTATTCTTAATTATTCTTTTAATAGTAACCGAACGTATCGATCACTTGGATAGATATATCGCCGATCGAGATGGCCATTTTCCAATTTCTGACAATTTTTTATTGTCTTTTTTTGCAATCATCCAAAATTTGACTCATTGTTTTAGATATGAAAAATCTACTTATGGCCGTAAAAATGAAACTTCTAAGTTTAAGAGAATTACCTTAATAATTATTCTTAATTATTCCTTCAATACTAACAGGATCGTGTCGTTGGGGAACTCGCTTTTTCCACATAAATAATATCCGCGAAGGAAATACGTTGACTTGTCAAACTTGTATATAAACATGCCTATATAGAAAATACATAAAATACCGTGACATCGTATTGATCACTTGGGTGGATATATTGCCGTTCGAGTTGGCTATTTTCCATTTATTCCCAACTTTTTGTTCTCTATGGTCCTATCCACGGCCATCCAAAATAGAGTCCATTGTTACAGAAATGGAAAATCTACGTATGACCGCCATATACGTAGAAAGTAAAACTCCTAAGTTTAATAGAATATATGTTAATAATTATTCATAATTATTCTTTCAACAGTAATTAAATGTGTCGGCAGAGGGCCTCGTTTTTTTCGACATACATAATACCCACCAAGGAAATACGTTGACCTGCTGCCACTTGTACATAAACATGCCTATATAGGAAGTATATAAAACACCGCGACATCGTATCGATCACCTCAGATAGATATATTGTCGTTCGAGTTGGCTATTTTCCATTTTTCTGCCAACTTTTTCCTATTTTAACCACGGCCTTACAAAATCGGGTCCATCCTTACAGAGATGAACAAAACAAAAAAAAGTGGAACATGGCCGTCACGTGTATTGAAAGTGAAGTTGGAAGTACTAAGCTAATGAGAATTATTAGATATAAATAATTTTTAATTATTCTTCCACGTCCCGATTGGTTTGAGCGTAATCTGTCTTATAAACACAAACAACATAATCATCCGAAATTGGGTACGTAAATACAGGAATGAAAAATACTTTATCAGTAGAACAGAGTTTCGACATAAATAATATCCACGGAGAAAATACATTAACCCGTTGGAGATACATATGGTCAAGTAATTATCGTATCGTATTGCTTATTTTAAAAAGATATTTTCCTATCAAAATTTGTTATTTTATGCTGCCCACGGGGTTTTTCTTTTTTTTTTTCGTTTTATTCGATGCCTACGTTATCAGTAATAGTAGCCATTGAATGAGAAATTGAAAGTACGCTTTCCGTAGATTTCTTTTTCTAGAGTAAAGAGGTAATCGCAGAAGAAATACATTGACCTAATGGAGATATGTATGGTCATGTGGGCAATTATCATATCGAATTGATTACTTCGGGCCCTGAAGATTCTTCTCGTTTCGTGTTTTTTTCATCGCCTTATCCCAAGGCTATGTAATCCGATATATAGTGTCCATTCACCTAAAAACCAAACGTTTTACTTCTTAAAATGTAGAATATCTGAGAGAGAAACATGTTTACCTGTTCTTCCACAATAAGAGTGTATAAAAATCATAATTTACTAAAAACTCAAGTCTTTTCTTGTACAATATATTTATTATCTCGCAAAAAGAACCATGTTACCCAGACAACTAAGACACCTTGTCAATGGACGTAAAAAAATATGTACTTCTAATTTCGTACCCATTTCTAATTTTGTTACCATTGATCCCATTGATACCATGATAAAGACAATTTTCCGACGAAACGGCCCACGATACGAGAAAACGCTCAAGACGAAAGCGATTCGGCGGAAAGTAACGAGTAACTTTTATCCTAAACTTTTTCTCCTATCTCGTCCCGTTGAAATGGAAAATCGCCCTTACGTCCGCCTGGAAAATAGCAACTTTTACCTCGTCGGCGCCCAGTGCTTTTGGTCGTAAAATCGTAAAGTCACCGCTATGCCTAATCAGACTAAATGGTATAAACTGATACCGCTCGCGAGCTCGCCGGTGAAATTTTAATTAAACGTTTTAATTAAAAAGTTCGGCAAGAAATGATGCAAACTTCCGATATCAAATAAGGTATCGATTGGCTTCGCGAATCAGGTCGGGCGGAGGCGCTTCGTTTTTATTTCCCGGCCTTTGTGTCTACGCACTTTTTCTTTATCTTTTTTTCTCTTTCATTTTCCGCCGTTCATCCTGTTCCTTTTTATTCTCCGCCCTTTCCGTTGGACTTTTTCGAGCCGAAGCTGCTTTCTTGGGAATCTACGATTAAGTGTTCTCCAAAGTGACGGGAATTTACCGGAGGACGATGGAACCAATGGCCGGCCACTTTTGCTTTCGAATCCGGCGAAATCTTGGCCATTCCTCGCGAATCTAACGATCGTTATTACGAGACCTAATCGCGCTCGGGCGTTTTATTAATGCTGGAAGAAAAACGGCCGTTAACCGATTTTGCGCCATTCCTTGCAAACGTCTTTCTCCGGGGCCTCCTCGCCGTTCATTCGTGTGATATTTCCTCAAAGAAGGCCAGCTTTCTGCAAAGTCAACCAAAGGAGGCTAAAAAACTCTTCGGAGTTTGTTTTACCGCGTTTCTGGGTACTGGAAGTGATAAAACCTCGCGTTCTACCTTAAAACTTGTCCTTTACGGTATAAAATGGAAGTTTCCATGGGTAACTACAAAACGTACATTGTACCTTTATCTAATACCTAGCAGGACAATATGGAAGTTTTGTTAATACAAGATAAATTACTCCTTATTTATCTTACTCAATTTATTGTCATGATGCGTTTTTGAGTACTGGGAGTGATAAAAAGTCCCGATGTACCTTAAAACTGGTCCTTTACGGTATAAAATGGAAGTTTTGTTAATACAAGATAAACTACTCTTTATATATCTTACTCATTTTATTGTCATGATGCGTTTCTGAGTACTGGGAGTGATAAAAAGTCCCGATGTACCTTAAAATTTGTCCTTTACGGTATAAAATGGAAGTTTCCATGGGAAACTACAAAAAGTACATTGTACCTTAATCTAATCCCTAGCAGGACAATATGGAAGTTTTGTTACTACAAGATAAATTACCCCTTATTTATCTTACTCTTGTCCGATTTTTCTTCTGTAAATATGTTTCTCAAGATATTCATGAATTTGAAATGTTAAAAGTTAAATCATTTTGATACACTCATTCCCATAATTGTTTATCAGAATCGGGTTTTTCTTATCATTAAGACTGTTAAACTCCTTTTCGACTAACAAATTTAATATTAACTCGACCGTTTCAGCTCCCTGTCCAATATTTCCGGCCTGCAACGTAAACGTTGCATTTTGAACGCGAAAAACAGTAATTATAATTACACGGGAACAATATTACTTTGTTTTACTATAATTTCCAGGAAAAGGCTCAACGCATTAACTGTCACGTAGGATTACGTAAATCCTGCGCAATGCCTGCAGGGACATTTTGCAAATTCGGCATGGTAGCTTATTCGGCTAATTAACTAATTAAACCGATAACAAGGCGTTAGAAAGTTACACGCTGCCTCTGATCCCGTTTTTATATATATTCTTATATATATTTATTAGGTGACTTTTCTGTATCATTACTCCCCGAGGGGAGTTCTTCATTTTCAACTTACGTAACTTTGGATAATAACGTTTTGTTCTTATTTTTCTTCAGGTCGTCCTGTCGGCATGCAGCACGTACTTCGATACGATTTTGTCGCAGTACGAGGAGAAGGACCCAATCGTTATCATGCGCGATGTCAAATTCTCCGACATCAAGGTGCTCGTGGAATTCATGTACAAAGGAGAGATCAACATCGATCACGTGAGTAAGACTTTTTGCTTCCTTTCAAATCAGGGAATCATTAACCGCGAGTCCTAGAGAAAGTACTAGTACGTATTTTGTCGCACGTGTACAAGTACGAAGAATTAAAAATTGTTCTTACGAATGGATTTAAAAAAAGACATCAAGCGTACTGCTGATAATACCCAAATTTCAAAGAAAGTACTAGTACGTATTTTGTCGCACGTGTACAAGTACGAAGAATTAAAAATTGTTCTTACGAATGGATTTAAAAAAAGACGTCAAGTGTACTGCTGATAATACTCAAATTTCGTACACTTTTAGTACAGAATGCAAGGACTTTTACAAATTCTTCACGTCGGCGACACCTTATTTTATGTTTAAACTAACAGTAACGTTATTAAGTCAACTAAATATATTTCTGCGTGAACAATTTTCGCAATCAGATCCTAAAAATTCCGGTCGCCGTTTTTCCACAATGTTCTGCACGGATTTCCACTTATTTTCTACGTCGCCGACACCAGTAACCTCATTTTATGTTTGAATTAACAGAAACGTTATTAAGTCAACTTAACCCTCTATGAGCCCGTGTAACTTTCAGGTCACATTTTAAATGAAAAATTTTTTTTCATTTGCATATATAGGTTCCTAATTGCTGATTTTTCGTTCCCCCAATTTTTTTTTTTATTTAAAACAAAAATTCGGCCCATAGAGGGTTAACATATTTCTGCGTGAATAATTTTCGCAATCAGACCTTAAGAATTCCGGTCGCCGGTTTGCCACAATGTTCTGCACGGATTTCTATTAATTTTCTACGTCGCCGACACCAGTAACCTTATTTTATGTTTGAACTAACAGAAACGTTACGAAGCCACCTAAACATATTTCTGCGTGAACAATTTTCGCAATCAGACCCTAAGAATTCCGGTCGCCGTTTTTCCACAATGTTCTGCACGGATTTCTCCTAATTTTCTACGTCGTCGATCCACCTCCGTGGGAAGCTTCACAGCGCGGGTCCGACAAAGCGACTTTTGGGCCTCACCTCGCCGTTCCTGTATTTTCGTGCGATTACTTTATCCATCGGTGTGTACTTCTTTTTCCCTCCCCGCCGCGTCGGGTTCGAAGAAACGAAAGCGGCCATTTCTGAAATACATTATTCCCCCCCGCGCGCCGCTGACCCACATAGCATTTTTCCAATTCTGCCCGGCCGATAGAAAGCTGTTTGTAGAAAGTTCCCACATTATTTAGCATTCAACGGCGGCGGCCGTTATTGCGCCGGAAATTAGCAAATAATAATTGGATCCCCATTGTTGGCCGAGGATGATTGTGCGCCGCGACGCTGCGCGTCCTTAAGGCGCGTTCTCCAGCCTCTTGCTCCACTTTTCGGTCCCATTCTCTCATTATTTTAGGTCTCATTGTCCCTCCGCTCGTTGGAATCCAAGATATCGAGCTTCTTGGGCCCTCGTCGTAGGATCAGGAAGCCTGAAAATTAAAAACAATGCGGAGATTAATCATGCACCTTCCGTTTAACAAGATTTGGTATTGGGACAGTTTGCGCGGAAAATTCCTTAATTATTTATAATCACTTCTTCTGGTCCTTTCCGGAACCGAGCTCCTTGGACTTTCATCGGAGGTTTTAGGCAGTCTAAAAATTAAAAATATTGTGGATTAAACGTGAATTTTCTGTTTTTCTTTTTTAATTCGTTTAAATCATCCAAACCTTGAAATAAGGTATTTGTATGCCTTGGATCTAATTTCCTTTTCGGTGCTCTTATAGACGAGGCTCTCGTCGCTCCTGAAGACCGCGGAGGACCTACACATCAAGGGTCTGGCGGAGGTGAGCTGGCGCAGCGACTCGGCGCAGAACGACCTGAGCAACAGCGGACACAGCCCCGGCGCGGCGCCCCCAGGGGTGGAGACGGTCCTCAGGGAAGGAGACGCCGACGAGCCGCCGCCCCCCAAGCAGCGACGCAGGGGTCGTCCTCCTCTCGACGATCCCCCCTCGGCTCACGATGTCTTCACTCCGAAGGTCACCTGCATAACTGGCAATGTAGGCATCGAAGACAGATTCTCTTTGCGCCAGGTTAGATCAGCTTAGCGGCTAATCGCAACTGATTAGTTGTGACGATTAAAGGTCGATTTGGACACGTCCTAGCCATATCCAAGCCATATCCGTGCCATAGCCGTGCTATAGCCGTGCACATCCGTCAAGACCGATGCAGCTCACTGACAAATGACTGTAGAAATTAGGCATCGATCTGCTTTTGACATATGTTCTTGTATGTCGAAAAATAGACGGGTATTTTTTATACGTCCTAATTCGTGAGTTTAAGGTTATATGATAGGGATATTCTATGTATATTAACCGTGTACATCCGTCAAGACCGATGCAGCTCACTGACAAATGACTGTAGAAATTAGGTATCGGTCTGGTTTTGACATATGTTCTTGTACGTTGAGAAATAGACGGGTATTTTTTATACGTCCTAATTCGTGAGTTTAAGGTTATATGATAGGGATATTCTATGTATATTAGCCGTGTATATTCGTCAAGACTGGCGCAGCGCATTAACAAATGACGGTAGAAATTAGGTACATCTCATCGATCTGGTTTTGACATATGTTCTTGTACGTTGAGAAATAGACGGGGATTTTTTATACATCCTAATTCGTGAGTTTAAGGTTATATGATAGGGACATTCTATGTATATTAGCCGTGTACATTCGTCAAGACCGGCGCAGCGCATTAACAAATGATGGTAGAAATTAGGTACATCTCATCGATCTGGTTTTCACATATGTTCTTGTACGTCGAAAAATAGACGGGTATTTTTTATACATGTCAATTCGTGACTTTAAGGTGATACGAAATGAACATTCTATATATATTTAAGTGCACCAAGTAATCTAAAACATTAACACGTGATTATGGAGGTCCTGATGATCTTCAACCTCACGAAATTCTATTTTGCGAGACAGCATATTTCTTTTGCATTTTGTCCGGGATAGATACATTTTTTTTTTCCAAACATAAAATGTCACGAATTTCGAGACCTTTATCAGAACCTCCATAATCACGTGATAAGGTCTTAAATTATTTGGTGCGTCCAGTGTGTAGAAAAGCTTCATCAACATTTTGATGTTTCTATGTACATAGAATGACCCTTTCGTATCACCTTAATTAATAACCATCATTTGAGGAGCAACACGAGTCTTGCGAAATCAATTTTCTTTTTTTTTCCCGCAGCCAAGAAATTCCATTAGCAAGAGATATTGAGATCGTTAAAATAATTTCGCGTGGAAAGTAAATTCATCGCTCACGGATACCGATACGGAAATGAAGGAATAGTCCGATATATGAATCACAGAGGGAGTTATTACTATCAGTGCACGGATACGTCACGGACACGGTACGGACGGTCCAAATTGGCTTTTAATCGAGACCTAGACTATAATTCTAGGGCCATGGTTGTTTACCTTTTCCAAATTGCTTTTGCACACTTGCTGCTAGCTGCAGATTTGGAAATGGTTCGCCCGTAGACATTGAATAGACGTCTGATAGCGATTCGACCTTTTGTAGGAGGAGATGATGAGCGAGGGCGACCACGAGAGCTGGGAGGACGAGATGATGATGTCCGAGAACAATGAAACATCACTGCCAGTGGTAGGTGTTAGAAGTTAGGCGATAAACGGACACTGGATCGTTTCTCAGCGGTGAAAAGTCCAGGTTATGGCGGTGCGAAAGTACCGTATTAACCGGTAATTTGGAGATAAATTGCGGGTCTCGACGATACGCCGCAATTGAACTGTCCGAGAGCATGTGAGAATTCAAGTGTACGCTCGGTGAATTGAGAAAGTTATGGAAAGGCTCGGAGAAAATCCACGGTGATGAATGCGGATGAGCGGTCCAATGTGACACGGATAATAGAATAGTTGGGGTTAAAGTTAAAACGGTTAAATGTTTCTAACACTCATCGGTACTACCCACCAAACACGTTTGTAACATGTAATGTAACGTACATACAATATATAAATAAGGTTTCTATTACTACTTCCTACGCAGTTGTATAACACTGATATAAAACGAATAATGTAACGTATGTATAACATATATGTTATGTATATATCGTATAACTGCAGTGCTAACAGTATGTAACAATGCTACCGAAGAACAGTAATTCCTCGTTACATGATATTAATGTGTCTTTTGGATAACATTCGTTATATGTCATGTTATTCCAGTGTTATGCAACTGTAAGTGTATGTAACGTAGGGTGCTTGGTGGGTATAAAATCTGCCCATAATTATGAAAGTGGTCTAAGTCATATATTTTTTGTTATAACATTGAATTAATTTCGTTTGAAATAATATGGCGTGAAATAACTGATAAACTCATTTTTTTTTTTAATTTTGAGTTAGACCACTTTCATAATTATGGGCACAAATGGCTTGGAGGTGAATCCCAACGAGTTGTAATAAATTCTTCCTTTTCTAGCTTTCCTACTTGTCCAAAGACGACAACACCTCCGACCAGGAGAAGAGAGGTAAGTGGAGCTCTCCTCGTTACGGTGGGTGATCGTTGTCCTAGGTCGAGGTCGATTTACATATTCTCTTGATCTTGCAGTAGCTTCTGCTCAGCCGAACTCGAACGCCACGAATCCGGCGATCCCCGAGCAATTCCGGGACGTCGTGAAGATGAACGACTATCTGACGACGGGACGCCGCCAGGAGTTCTGGGAAGAGCCGTTTACAAGACGCGTCATGGACGCCATTAAAAGCAAGGAACTCGAGATGAAGACTGCTGCTGAGATACTTGGCGTCTCCTACGGAACCCTCTACGGCAGATACCGCGACAGCTACGGATGCCTTAAACACCCTTACAGGTAAACACCCCTAGGAGGCTGCACCTACGAAGACAAAAATATACCCCATTACTCGATACAATGCAAACTAATGCAACAGATTGTACATCGATTTTAGAATTTCCCCAAATCTATGAGACAAACGCGGAGAGATTAGAGTAAGAATCTGCAAAAGATATCATGCAAAGGAAATAACAATTGTCCGTGGAAATTCTCTTAGCAACCCTCACCTCCACTGATCACGTGTCAATACGGTTCATTGTAACGTACCCACGTAATCTTTTTTTTTTTTAAGTTTCCTACATAAAAAAATTGCATTGTCTCCCAATGCACTTCAAATGGTATGCTTTCTTAATGGTAAAAAAGATTATTATTACTCTTGCAAATGTAAGTAATTGCGCTGTACGTACTTTAAGGTGAAGTGATACTCTTCTCGAACCAGTCAATTCGAATAAGACACTTTTTTTAAGGGGTTGCCCTGAACTATCTGAAACATTAGAGCGTGATCCCCTAAGAAATATCCTGCAATATTAATTTTTTTTTTTTCAATCTACCTTTTGAAAGTGTACGCACAGCGGAGAAGACGCCGATAGGGCTGCGTTAAGCTGTTTGAGGCTTAGCAGTCTTATCGATTCGATTCGAATTTTACCACCTATCAATTGGGTCAATCAAAACTCCGAATTGATAGGTGGTAAAATATATATATATATGTTACAGTGAAACACCGAAATCTGAAGAATGTCGACTTTCACCGGTAAATGTTGACATTCACCGGTGTGTGATTGTCGACACACACTGGAGAGGGTCCGAATGTACAACAATGTAATGAAATATTCAATCTTTCACCGACGTATTTGGTATCTGTTGACATTCACCGGTGAAAGTCGACATTCTCCAATTTCGGTCATTCACGGTAACATATATATATAGGCTAACTCTTTCATATCACATTTCATATCATACAAAGTAATAGTCGCGCGGCTAAATCGCGCTACCGGAATGCCATCTAGAGTTTCCAAATGACTTATCTAATATAAAGAATCGTTTCCCTTCAGAGTGAGAGACTTCTGGTCCGAGCCCGGCCCAGCCGAGGTCCTGGCCAAGCTACGGAGGAAGGAGATCACGCTGTTCCGGGCGGCGGAATTCCTGAACGTGACCGTCCACACCCTGGCGACGTACCTGTCGACGCTCCAGGGTCCGGACAGGATCTCCCTGGCCGGGGAGCTGAGCGGGGCCGGGGGCACGGTCGACGGGAACAACGAGACGGAGTCCGAGGCGGTGAACGACATCCTGCAGAAGATCAACGCGAACGCGGCGACGGCGGCGACGCCGACGACCTCGACGACCATCAAGCGCGAGGGCGGCGGCTACGTCGAGGTGCCGGCGCCGGTCGCCAAGGCGGCGACCTCCGTCCTCGAGAACAACCCCGACATCACGATCGTCAAGACGGAGAGCGTGCCCCGCAAGAGGGAGTACTCCAAGGTCTCGAACATCGAGAACAACAACGCTAAGCTGATGAGCGGCGGCGCCGTCAGCGAGGTGTCCCAGCAGAAGCTCGCCGACCCGCTGTCGCTCAACAACGACAACAGCAAACCCTAACTGTTCAGGCCGTACTTGACCCCGGCCAGTCCCCGAGTACCCAACGCCAACGTCTACAGATCTGAGTTCTACCACCCGCGCAGATTTTACTCGAACGTATTCACCCGCTTCTTCAACAACTTCCACCTCAAGTAGAGGGGCGAACCCGCGACCTGCCGGGGCCGTTTAGTTGCCAGCTAGTGGCGCTGAAGTCGGCGCGGTGGTCTAGGGAATCCGTTGCTCGACCCGTGGTCCAGGATGTCCTAGGCTGGATCTTTGGGATCGGTTTTGGAGACACCGCGGTCACGGGTCGGGTGACATTGGTGACAGCGACCCGGAGGGACCACGTGGCGATTGACAGCTCGTTACCGTTGCCATCGTGACATTCTATACATTGGCGATCCCATGGGAAACGTTTTCGATGATCCTAGGGCATTAAGAGATATCCTTTGAAAGTACTCATCTTCTGCGCGGTGGTCAAGTCGATACGTCGTTTCTTTAGATTAAGGCAGGATGAAAGTGGCGTCTTAAAGGGCTCGTTTGCGAAACTTCTCCGCGAATTGGATGCGCCGAGTCGTGTGAAACTTCTCCTGGTGCATGTGGAGACCCCGGAGGATCCCACCCACCCGTGGAATTCCATATTTTTTAAATTTGTTTATAAGCGTTTCTTCTTATTTTTGATAGAACATGAAATTTCATGGGTGTCTCGAAACCTTCCGTTCTTCATGTTCGCGTGATGAAGTCTTCCACGAGTCGATACATCCAATGCATAGAGAAGTTTCATAAATGATGACTCTTCGGTTGTCAAATTGATGATCACATGATTAGATTAGATCGTGATTAGAACAATTCTTGCGGGGATCTCGTGTGGAGGATCTAAGCGTTTCCCATGCAAAGCCTGACCCTCGACGTCGCAGGACTATGCGAAGCAACCACTGCGGTGCGAAGTGGAAGGGCCTCCTGGAAGCCACTCCTAGAAAAGAACTTCCCAGCCGTAAAAGACGTTTTTACCACATTTACCCCGATATTTATGTACCTTAGAAAACACTATACCTGAGACAAACGAGCCTCGCCGTCCGGCGACGTCGACGACGTTCCGAATTCTCGCGGGGATTCGTCCATGGCGTTTCCCTCCGGGTCGCCGAAGCGTCCCCTCGACCTCCTCACATGGGTTCGCTCCTCTTCGTCGGGTGTAAGGATCTTTGGCCTTCGCAGAAAAAAATGAAACGTATAAAGTTCAATCGAAGTTCCTTTTCAATAATCGAGACGTAGGAAGTATCGCAAAGAAGCCTAGACTATTTTCTGCCGCGTGTATTTGTACGTTTGGGCGTTGAGAGAGAGAGAGACAAAGCGAGAAACAATTGCGACAATACCTCCTATTCAGAAGAGTTGTAGAGACCGATCATAGCGAGCCCGGGCTGGTCAAAAGGAGAGAGCGACCCGGCTCCGCGTAGCGACCTCCACGAGGAAGACGAAGAAGAAGAAGACGAAGAGGAAGAGGAACAAAAGACGCGACAAAGTCCTCGTTCCCCCCTCTGAGCGGGGCCGACGTCACACCGCAAATCCCGAGGGTCCTCCGAGCAGGGAAAAGCCTTAAGAAAAAAAAAAAAAGATGAAGAAGAAACCGCAGAAGATTTAAGAAACGACGAGAGAGAGGAGAGAAGGAAGTAGAACACGAGGAGAATCCCGCGTCGAGGCGCGAGTAGGTTTTCGCGGACCGGCAGACTGGATTGTACATTAACTCCGTCTCGTTGTCATGATTGATGTCTTGATTTTTTTTTATTTTCTTTTTATTCTCCTTTTCAATGTTTTCTCCCCCGGCGAAAACTCGCGCCACTCGAGGAGGCTGACCGGCGCGCCCTGAGCTCTTCTTCGCGGAAGGCCCTCGCGTATTTTTCTCAAGATGGCCGCACCCGAATAAGCGAGCCTGAAGAGGGTCCCGAAGCCGAGCTCGGGGCGATATCGCTCCAGGGTCTTTATAAGGACGCGAAGGAGCTAAGGAAAACTGAGCGCAAGGCTCGCCTGTCCTTAGGACAGGTGGTATACGATTATACACTTCCCCGAGCCCCACCCCCAGGTCCTCTGCTCCCCTTTTATAAACGGTATAGATGATATATCGCACTGTAGATGTTTTAGAGAACGTTATATCTTAGGTATATATATATTATATATATATTATAAATATATAAATATATATACGCGCGAGCTTTTTTATAGGAATTTTAAGTGGCTTTTATTTAAAAGAAAGAACGGTGATCCTCGATTTCGATACTATGTAAGGCGGATTCATTTGAGAGAGAGAGAGAGAGAGAGAGAGAGAGAGAGAGAGAGAGAGAGAGAGAGATAACGTGTGAAAGGGAGGGAGAGAAAGAGAGCGAGAGAGCAGTGCGCGAACGCACTTTGACGTCCATTGTAAATATCGGTGCAATAGCGAGACCTAAAATTAATCTTATTTGTCGGAAAGTGTTTGAGCACTATTTTTAAAAAAAGGATTTAAAAAACAACAACAATGATACGGAGGGAAAGGACAGACGGAGAAGAGATACGCGTCGAGGTACGGGGACGTCCGCTTTTTTTTATGTCGGGGGCAATTACGCTGATTACGCTGATTACGCTGATAAGTGGACGTGCCTCGTTCGGGCGGATTAAGAAGGCGCGATTCGATTTACTTTAATTTTTTAAGGGAGGAGTCCGAGCGGAGGACTGCTGAGATCATGGGTGAATCTTAAACTTAGGTGAGAAAGGGAGCGAGAATATTGCGTATATAATATTGTGTATGTATATCCACTCTTGAAGTAGACGACTCGCAGAGAGAGTGAGAGAGAGAGAGAGAGAGAGAGAGAGAACGTGACCGCACTCTATTAACCGTACTCCGTGAAAACAATGACTGGAAACGAGTATTCCTGTTTGCTGATGGTAACAAAAACACTAATTAAGAGCTAAGGATATATAGTAGAGGTATTCCCATTGATATTTTTGATGATGTAAGACTTAGTTTGCGCTCGGAACACTCGTAGCACTTGGCCACTTGTTAAGCAACCCGAAGGAGGTAATTGTAATCGTAATCCACGTTATAGGAAGAGAATGGGCCTCGCGTTTCCGCTTCCGGTCCACTTAATGCCCAAGTTACTCCGGACGTACTCTCATATGTGCCCATAATTATGAAAGTGGTCTAAGTCAAAATTAAAAAAAAAAAAATGAGTTTATCAGTTATTTCACGCCATATTATTTCAAACGAAATTAATTCAATGTAATTTCGAAAGAAAAAATATATGACTTAGACCACTTTCATAATTATGGGCACATATGGGGTCGATATCTTCGTTTCTGGGTGATAAGAGGACCGAAAGGGGAATTCACCGATGCCTACGGGGCGAGTCATCCATTTTGTCGAAACTAATATTAGGTTGATGCCTAATGGCGTATCCCTTTTTTTTTCTTTTCTTTTTACACCTTACGTTACGCGTCGAAAACGCCATTACGTACGCATCGACCTAATAGTCCCTGGAAAGCGATTCTGGGGGAAATGTGAAATTTCTAGGGCGCAAGTCGTACGCGAGATCGTTCATTGACTCGTTCTGTAGAATCGGGTGAACATGTAGATTTTGTGATATGTGTATATATACATATATATATATACACACACCAGGGTGCAGAAAATAGCGGTCGTTGATTCGCGCGAGCGGCGCCCCTTTACACGCGCCGAGATATGGAAAATGGATTTAAAAAAAGGAAAAAAAGGAAATTAAGAAAAATTACCCGCGCCGATGACACGACCTCGCCTTCCCGCGAACAGTTTTTTTTTTTTTTCAAGGAAATCGACCTTCGCAGCGAGTCTAAAAAAAAAAAAGAAATAGCATCGACTCGATACGTCGGATCTAATCGCGAGCGATGTAATGAAATTCACTTGGTCGGCGGAAGGGAAACAGGAAATGGAAAAGAAAAAAAAAGAAAGAAAGAAAAGCGAGTCGAGATACCACCGCGTCGCGATAAGCCCTCTTTTAATCCCTCGTGGGAATTATAATTACCGTCTCTATACGGAAGTTCCCTCGGTTGCTTTACGAGTGAGCCAATGATCGATCGTCTTTATCTAAGTATAATTTTATACGACTAACTCCCCCCCCTCCCCCCCCCCCCACAGACCCGCTACAACCCTTTTAGCGTTTTATTCGTCACGAAGAAAAGTAGATCTGCTCATCGTCACCATTTTAATTTAATCTCTCGACACGCGTACACACACAGACACGTACATACACACGTCATTGCGTCTTAATGGATTTTTTATGGATTAAGTAAGCGGCGAACTCCTCGCCACCCACCCACCCCCCGCCCAACCCTTTCCGTTCTACACGTATATATTATTATAATGAATTACTCTTAACTAATTATTTCTTCTTTTGATATAAAATAAGACTAAGACATACCAAATGAGAAATGTAAGGACAAGTTTTGTTAGGGTTAGTACTATCGCATATCAAGAGAGCAAAAATACATGCGCTGATGCACTCTGTATTGCCTATGCACGTCCCGGTAAGTGCATCGGGGCGCACAAGACCACTTTTACTCTAGCAAGAGTATACGACTAGAAGTATTAATATTTAATATGAATAATCAAGACGATCCAAAATGAGTGGCTATATATGTATGTATTTTTTTTTTTCTTTTTTTTGTTCGAGGGGTCGCGACTGTTTCCTTCGTTGCTTTACACGCGAATCCCTTGGTCGGGTCTGAATTACGTGCGTTGACGATGCAGTTTCATTGCAGCGATGCATACGATTAGGCAATGACGAACTACTTACTTTTTTATATACCTTTCTACCGAGGCGGTCGTTAAGCAAGCCAGCTAGTGTTCTTAACCGCGTTAAGAGGGCGTGAGAGTGGCGACCGAAAGCTCAATCGTTTATGATACTTTCCTCTGAACTGGGTGTACCGATTCGCCTAATACTTGAGAACGTGATCGTCGAGGGCATAAGGAAGGTCCTGGCACTCGTGAAGTTTCATTTTTTAGAGAAAAAAATTCAAGATACCTATATAGAAGCTTTGTCAAAATTGAAATTTCATGGCCGCCAGGACCTTTTTTAGGGTCTCTAGGTTTACATTGTCAAGTTTGAAAGGATTTTCGGGTAACCCAGTTTGGAGGAAAGCTTCGTAAAAATAAGACCTCTTTGGTGCCACTTTCGTCCCGCCTTAAAACGTAATCGGACACCCTGGATCCCAGTAACTCGTGATTTACTTATACGCCCGACATTATTTATGTAGTGATTAAAAGCGATTTTATTTGATCAATTTCTTGCAATTTATTGACGGTGTCGAGCTGCTCGATTAGGCCACCTTTGATTTCGATCGCTTCGATTGGAGTTATTCGCTTCCAGTCGGAGCTCAAATTGTAGTCGGATTACTTTGAAGTAGTTACGTTAAGTTACTGGTGAAATAGCTTTAACTAATGTCGAAGGCACGAGTATTGCAAATTCCTTCCTTGTCATTTTTAAAACGGTTTAAGGAGGAGGAAGTCTACAAATATATATATATATTTTTTCCACGGCGTTTAGTAGTACCTAAAACTTTCACATATATATATATATGTATTCGTAAGCACATGTGCAGTTTATTGATTTATATTGGACCTCGCGTTTAAATGTCGCGTAGAGTTTTAACACCGCAGAGAAAGTCTAAATAGGCTATTTGGTTTAAGATATTCATTTAAACTTGACGGATCGATTTTATAATGTTACGTGGATCGGTGACGTCATTTTTTACGGAAATTGATAATCTGTATCCGACTTCGGGGAGAAAATTAAACTGCGTTGAGCCACCGGAATCAAAAGTGACTATTAATATGTTATCTGATTAATGCACTCGTGTCCCTTTTTCGTTTAAGATTTACATTCAGACCGATCAAGCTTAATTTTTATGCAAATTTTGAGACTCGACGTGGTCTCGCGCTAAGCACGTAAAATGCGAAGAGATAATTTGATATTAATTCTGCCGACGCTGTTTTCAAAATTGACAAAATATCCGATTATACATGATTGCCAGGGAATTCCTCGCGTTGGAAATAAATCATTTAAGTGTCTTATAATTATTATCAAATTACCTTATTTTATGTCATTGCATTCTTATCCGATCGGCTAAGAAGTAGGGGAGACCGGGCCAAGTTGTACTACGGGGTAAATTGACAAATGTTTAATAACTTTTTTATTCTTTACTTGATATCATTCTCGATTTTATCATACATTCCTAACCGTATTCCACACTCTTGTTGGTAGTTAAAATAATCATTTGCAACCTCGCTTATTTATTAAAAAGTGAAACTTTAAAACTGCGATAGTAGGTAAATTTATTTAATACTTTTTTCCCTTCTTTTTTAGTTTAAAACAGTTTATCGTTTGCCAATATGCCTTCAATTGTTATGCCGACGTTCTGGTCTAATAATAAAAACAATATTTTTCAATTACTGCAATTCATTATTTTCTAATCGTGTACGAACTTTGGGTGGATCTTATGCTGTGTCAATTTGCCCCAATCAATAGATCAATTAACTCCGCAAGTTGACCGACCGCGCTGGCGTGCATAAATAATTTTTTCTTCAATTTTCTACAAAAGATTAAAGAATTTTGTATCGCAAATATTGTGCCTGGATATATGTCCTACATTTCGATGTATAATATATATATATATTAAAAAATGTTTATTCTCTCCCGGATGAAATATTATCGAAAAAATTGGTCAATTTGCTCCCCCGGTCTCCCCTAAAGTTAAGTCGGATGTCCTTGGAACCAAAAGCGAATATTAATCGATTGATTGGCATATGTTAATTGTCACATAATTTTTATTTGTTGTAAAGGGCCACGTGCAGACGCCCACGTGGCCCATTGCACGGCTGGAAAGACCTGCAGATTTTTATGAAAAAATACGACAATGTTCCGAGTTTAACTATGTAAATATCAAATATTGCTAGAAACGATGTACTCCTTTTTTCTTCTTCTTTTTCTCTTTTTTTTTTAATTATTTTTTAATAAAAATGCACGGAGAAGAAGGAATAGCATAAACTTATGAGATTCAACGCGTAAGTTCACCTAGCACTTTAGCGAAAGTTTAAGCGGTATGCTTTAACTGATGAAGTATTCGACATATTTCCCAAGAATTAGTTTACGTTTACTGTATTACAGAAAAGACACTGCATTTTAGTTCAAAGAGAAAGTTAGGCGGTACATCTCACTACCGATAATAACGATAGTTCTTAGTATATATCGCAGTATGTATAAACCTATCCCCTTAACCAGACACCTCTCCCATTTTTATTTATTACTATTCTAATAATTCACCATCTCTTAATGTTCATCGAAAAACCAATCAGAAGAAGAGATACGAATTCTCCTGCAATTTCACAAATGAGTCCCCTCCACCACCCTCAATACCCATTTTACCATTCCCTTTTAATTTCTCCTCTTATGCGTAAACTTCGTCCACGACCAATAATCATTTTTAAGTAATTAAGGGGATGCGAAAGTGGCATCTGAAGAGTCAATCGTTCATGAAGCTTTTCCCCTAACTGGGTTTACCGAGTCGTTTCAAATTTTACAACGTGAACGTCGAGGCTATAAGGAAGGCCCTGACCCTCGTGAAATTTCATTTTTTAGACAGAAATTTTCAAGATACCTATATACAAGTTTTGTCAAAATTGAAATTTTATGGTCGTCAGGACCTTCTTTATGGTCTCTAGGTTTACATTGTCAAGTTTGGAACGATTCGGTACACCCGGTTAGGAGAAAAGTTTCATAAAGAAGAATTATTTCGCGTCAATTTCACATCCCCTTAAATACAACTCAGCTCATTTTAGTTCCCAACTTCTCCGCTTTCCCTTATACACGGCGTCGTACCACGTAGGTTTTATTCCCCGTTCTGGACACAGCTTTAATTTTATCGTCAACTATTCCTTGTTCCCCGTGACCCGCTACTTTTTACAATAACTCAACCGCGATAAATGAAGCTGCATCGTATATGATTAAAAGCGACACCGAAAGCGCGTGTTTCGGCGAACTCGACCTTAAGGGCGTTTTAAGTTCCCTGATTTCATTCCGTTGACCGTCTAAGCTCGATCCGAAGCGTAATGCCCGGTTCCACCAACCTCGGTTAAAATGATTGATCACCTAACCGGAGGTTAAAGTTAACGCCTAAGTTAATTGTGGGTTAAAAACGTAAACGTTCCCCCACATTTATTTAGAGCGTGATTGACTAATCGTATACATCATTAGAAGTTGAATTGTCGGTAAACGCGTTCATGCCACACTCTGATCGACTAGAAAGCAAAATAAATTTGTCTTTATCTAGACGCGAAATCCCCCTAGCTTCATGCAAGAACTTATTTGACAGATCTAGCCTCAAGAAGTAAAATTCTTCGGTTAAGGCGATGTCAAAGTGGCGTTGTGGTTTAGTTTATGGAACTTTCCTCCGGACTGGGTGTACCGAATCGTTTCAAACTATACAATGTGAATACGAAGACAATAAGGAAGGTCCGGGCGCCCATGAAATTTCAATTCCTTAAAAATTTATTTATAGGTGGTTCGAACATTTTTTTCTAAAAAATTAAATTTCATGCGCGTCAAGACCTTCCTTATACCCTCTGCATTCACGTTGTAAAGTTTGAAACGATTCGGTACACCCAGTTCGTAGAAAAGTTTCATTAACGATTGACTTTCCGGATGCCACTTTCACATCCCCTTAAGAATTAATATTAAAATATTTCCAAGGGTACTTCGATCGATAAGAAATTGTAAAAAAGATCAAAAACGTCTTCATCCGTTTCGTTACAAGGTGTCGATACATGCCGAATCTAATCCATCGTTTTCCTCGCATTTGTGCAGTTTTTAGGGTGAACCTCGATTAACTGATGCTAAACGAAATTTCACTGGTTAATCTAAATCCTGGGGGTTAACCTGCCGTTTAAATGTTGTGGAACGTTAAACTCGTAACCGAGGATTAGCTTTTTGTCCGGATGCCACTTTCACACCCCCTTAAGAATTAATATTAAAATATTCCCAAGCGTACTTCGATCGATAAGAAATTGTAAAAAAGATCAAAAACGTCTTCGTTACAAGGTGTCGATACATGCCGAATCTAATCCATCGTTTTCCTCGCATTTGTGTAGTTTTTAGGGTGAACCTCGATTAACTGAAGCTAAACGAAATTTCGCTGGTTAACCTAAATCCTGGAGATTAACCTGCCGTTTAAATGTTGTGGAACGTTAAACTCGTAACCGAGGATTAGCTTTTTGTCCGAAGTTGGTGGAACCGGACGTAAGGAACCTCCTTTGATTTCCGGCGAGCGAGTCTCGGGGAGAGCTCGAAAACGGGTGGCCATTTATTAGGACGTCCTTGTATCATAATCGCGTCTCTTCGGGGTTTCCGGCTCCGTGTTCTCGACATGACACGGGAAAGACAGGACAAGACTATATAGCCTATCCGGCGAATGATGCCACGTTTACTTGCGGCTATCGCACCATGAGACTAAAAGAATCGATATCATAATTATGTGTCGTTTGATATAAACGAGTAACGAGTATAATAATGTATCATCGTTTTATACACGAAAACCTAATTATAAACTACGTACACTATGTACATTCCTAGTATACACGCCTCTCACTGTCATTACACGTTGCATTACACGCGCATGAGAACGTACGGACCTATATATATATATATATGTACACATATATATATTTATAACAATTATATCGTTATTCTTGAAAGGACCATCGCGGATTGGCGTACCCGAGAGATTATAATAACCGTGGGAAAGAAAAAAAAAAAATTGAAAATATTGTCTCAAGTGACGGCTATGGTTTTTCTGCGCATTACGGTCAGTTGGTACTGTATCCGGTAATGAGGCTCGAATGGAATAGGATTTAAATAGTCAAAATGATTTTCAATTTCTTAAAAAGATACCTGTATTAAATTGCCTTAAATCCTTTTTCTGGAATATACTGTTGGGACTTTTAATTACAATGAAAATTAATTCATATTCAATTCACGTCCGAGAAAATGATAAGGATTGGATTACACTTTTCTTTTTATCTCCGGCGGAATGAGGGACAAGATGAAAATCAGGTATTCACTGGAATTGACAGTTTTAATTCCATTCTATTCCTGTCTTCTTACTGGGCACGCTAAGAAATGGATTCTCGAAATTCCTGGAATTTTTCTTCTTTTTAGTTGCTTATCATACGTAGAAATTGCGGGAATGAATGTATCTGTACTCTGGGGAGATTTGCCGTACGTTTGAATTATTTTCGCGGGAATAGAAGCGTAGAATGAAATAATTTGGACGGTTAGGCAAAGAAAAAGTAAAAACATGTTCTATCTGTAAAAAGGATACCTTTGAAAATTCTTATGTATCATTCTAATGCTTGACATTTCGGGTATATTTATTGTACATTTCTTATCGTTTATGAGAAGGACCTTGTATATTGATACCTTGATTCGAGAAAAATACACTACATGTATAAATATGTGACATGGTGTAGTAATTACACCATGGCCCGTTTAAAGTACACTGTAAGGATATAGCTGAAAGTTTAAAAGATTCGGCGGATGAAATTTCTTTCCATTGTTTTAGTCGTCACGTGCCTGGACGAACTTTTGTTGATCGCATTACGAAACGTTTGATTCGTTCGTTATCTATGGAGCGTCTTTTATTCTAAAGCTAAACATTTCAAAGAGACAAAACAATTTAATATTCGCTATCTCGTTGCCTTCAATTTATTCTTAAACTGTAATTGAGAGAATCTTTCTACAACTATCGGCTTGTTTCCCATTTTTTTTTATTTTTCTCTCTGTACAAACCCATTTTACTGGAGCAGTGGCGTTTTGTTAACGAGCGATTAATTTACTATTTCATGTAATGGACCAACAAGCGTTGTCTAATTTAATTGGCTAAGCACACGTGGATTGACCAAATAAAAACCAATGGAATATTCTAAACTTTAACCATATCTGTACCATACACTCAATTAAACGTAACGATATTTCCATTAAGTTCTTCTAACGCAAAATGAGTATCTGCATATTTATCTCTTAA